GGGGGGAGGGCTGGGGCGGTCTGTCCGCCCCCCCCACCCCGAGTTGCTGCGTCCAGCTCGGGGGTCCCCAGCACAAGACGGGCAGGGGCCCGTGAGAGCAGGTCCAGGAGGAAGGCCACGGGACGGTGGGAGGGCTGGGACGCCTGCCCCATGAGGAAAGGCAGAGGGAGACGGGGTGGTCCTGCCTGGAGAGGAGAAGGCTCCGGGGAGACCTTATAACAGCCTTCCAGTATATAAAGGGGGCTTAGAAGAAAGACTTTTTACCAAGGCCTGTCGTGACAGGACAAGGGGCAACGGTTTTAAACTGAAAGAGGGTAGGTTTATATCGGACATGAGGGAGAAACTTTTTATGATGCGGGGGGTGGGATGCTGGATCTGGTTGCCCAGAGAAGCTGTGAATGCCCCATCACACTGGAGTTGTTCAGGGCTTTGAGCAACCTGGTCTAGTGGAAGGTGTCCCTGCCTATGGCAGGGGTCTGGGACTACGTAATCTTGGAAGGTCCCTTCCCACCTAAACCACTGTTACGAATCTACAATGCCACAGCATGGGCTAACAGAGCCAGACTGTGAACGTAGGCACCAGAAACAGCCAGAAGTTTGGAAACAAGGGGCAGAACCGCTATCCCTGGTGGTCTTCCCTCCAACAGGGCATTTCAAGGGTTAGAAAAGACAGGAGGCCCAACAGAATAGCTCACATCCCAAATTTAGTAACAGTCGTTTGTGCTTTGACATCTACACTGAATTAACCAAGTAATTCACACGTCTTACATGTAGGCTAACTGCCTCAGTAAACATTTTAATATAGTAACTTGAATGAATCATGCTCTATATTGCACTGTGACTTGTTTGCATTGAAGAAACGCTGTGTGCTGAAAACTACCACTTCAATGGATTTGTTCCTTTATTCCCAAGTCTTTGATTCCGTTCATCACTCAAACTTTTAAGTCAATTCAACTGCATTTGGTATCCAGATTATGAGCTCTCCGGGAACAGTTGGCTTTTGTTATCTGCCTGTATGGTGGCTACAAAACAGGCCCCCAGTCCTGGGTCTTTGTTGATGATACTGAGCCTCATACCCAGTTGTGGAGCTGGATCAAATGATATTAAACAAGGATTTGGACCAACTCCCAAATCCTTGCAAAATGGGATGCCATTAGATAAAGTAGGAAACACCATTCCAGAGGGCTGTCATTGGAGTGGGTACTGGTCGTGCTTTATTTACAAAATCCAGAGATTTGTACACAGCAATCTATAGGATAGCATAG